CTCACCCCCCACCCCCACCCCCACCGCTCCCAGCTGTTTGAAGGACAGCACAAGTCCCTGTCCCTAGAGCTCCTCCGCCTTTAATTTATTCCCTCTTAACCTGCGTTTTCTCCCTGACCTCCGCCCGCCCCGCCCCGCCTTCTCAGAGCCTCCTGCACCGTTTCTCAGGGATGCCCGCACCACCCTCCCCGGGCACCAATGCCCACGCCTGCCCGGGGGTGTGCCCAGGGCGCTGAGACGCCTTGCCTCAGCCCCGTGATGTTTTCCCAGGGGCAGGGTTTGCCCTGAGCAGTCGGCAGACTTCGGTGCTGCCCCAGGGAGTCGGGCTGCTCCTGCACCAGGCAGGGAGCTCTCTGCACCACTCAGTGGCCTGGCTCATGCCGGCAGCTTCCCGGTGCTCCCAGGAGGAGGTGTCAGGGAGAGACCCCGCACTTCGCTGGCCTGACACCCTTCTCTAGGGAAGCCCTGTGGCCCTGAGCCAAGGGCGGCGGACACGTGTTTACTGTGTAAGCAAGAGGAGAGCAGCGAATGCACACGGGGCCTCGTACGGAATAAAGCCCAGCGTGGAGGGAGCCATTGGTCTGTGACGCAATCTCGGTCGGGAGGCTGTGGACTCGGAGAGCCCTGGCGCGTCAGTGACCAAATTCTCCACTGCCCCAGCCAGAGTGCGTTCCAGCCCCGGGAGGCGGGCTGCCCACCTCTTAGTTTACGCGTTTCTATAAAAGCTGAACCAGTGCACATTCTGAACACTGTTCCTCTGGACTCGCTGATAAACATACTTATTGATATTTTAAATGCCACACTTGTTCATACTTTATTCTTCTGAGCAAAACATTCAGGGGCGAGGTGTCATGTCTCCATTTCTAAATACCTCGGCGTGGTCTCCAGAGAAGAGGACCCGCCACACAGCCTCAGCTCCTCGTGCCTGAGGGCGTGGGCGTGCCTGACAGGCATTTCTCCAAGGGGACCGCTTTCTCTCTTTTTAAATATGTTTTTATTTATTTTTACAGAGAGGGGGAGAGAGACATTAATGATAGAGAAACAACATGGATCAGCTGCCTCCTGCACGCCCTACACTGGGGATCGAGCCCACAACCCGGGCCTGTGCCCTGACTGGGATTCGAACCATGACCTCTTGGTTCATAGGTCGATGCTAAACCCCTGAGCCACACCGGCCGGGCAAGGGGACCGCTGTGTGGGCACTGGTGCTTCTCTGGACACGGGACATGCAGTCTGACCCCTGACGAGCTCAGATGCCCCCAGTGGAGGCTGAGCAGAGTGGCTCAGATGCAGGAGCTGCCCCCTGGTGGTCAGTGTGGAGTGGCCAGAGCTGCTCCGTGACCGATGGGCAATTGCAACCTGCTCCGCTAACACCTGGAAACAGCTGCCCTGGCGGGAAAGGGTTTATTCTCAGGTGCCCTTTCCATGCCTCACCAGGTAAAGAGGTGGCCGCTTAGGGGTGTGCAGGCATTGCCCCCGTTGGCTTTATCTTCTCATAGTTCTATCCAGATGCTCCGTCTCTGCCACTGAGCTTAGGTTGAGAGAAGCTGAAGTGTCTGCCAGCTGAGCCCCGCTGTTTTCTCAGGATTTTTCCCACTGCCATTCCCTCTCCGCAGAAAAATCAGGGCCTCGCCCGGCCGGCGCAGCTCAGGGGTTGAGCGTCGACCTATGACCCAGGAGGTCACAGTTGGATTCCCAGTCAGGGCACATGCGCGGGTTGCGGGCTCCATCCCCAGTGTGGGGCGTGCAGGAGGCAGCCAGTCAATGATTCTCATCATTGATGTTTCTGTCTCTCCCTCTCCCTTCCTCCATAAAATCAATATATATATTAAAAAGTAAAAGAAAAATCATGGCCTGCCCATTCCATCCTTTCTGAGACAGGAGCACCTGCTGTCAGGCACACCTAACAGGTGAGGCGGCGGCGAGCGCGTTTGTTCTGGGATTTGCCACGAGTGAAAAAGAGGGACTGGAAAAACTGATTCCCACTCGTGTGTCTCCCTGGGAGCGCCCCGCCCTGAGTAAGGTTCTACATGCTGCTGATTTACCCAAACCCAGGGAACAGGGTCGCCCACACGATGAAGAGGGAGGCTTAGAGCGAAGTCAACAGGTGAGCCCCTCGGTGTCAGCTGCTCTGCCTCCCCTTTTTTATATCTATACTAGAGGCCCGGTGCACAAAAATTTGTGCACTGGGGGGGGGGTCCCCCAGCCCGGCCTGGGCCCCCTCCCAGCCTGGGACCCCTTGGGGGATGACCACCTGCTGGCTTAGGCCTGCTCCTCGGGGGATTGGGCCTAAGCTGGCAATCAGACATCCCTCTGGCAGCCCGGCAGCCCTTGGGGGATGTCCACTTGCCAGCAGGGAGCAGACCTAAGCTGCAGTCGGTCATCCTTAGCACTGCTGAGGAGGCAGGAGAGGCTCCCACCACCACCGCTGTACTGGCAGCCGTCAGCCTGGCTTGTGGCTGAGCAGAGCTCCTCCCATGTGAGAGCGCCCTGACCACCAGAGGGCAGCTCCTGCATTGAGCGTCTGCCCCCTGGTGGTCAGTGTGTGTCATAGTGACCAGTCATTCCCAGTCTTTCTGCTGTTAGGGTCAGTTTGTATATTACCCTTTTATTATATAGGATACTAGAGGCCCGGTGCAGGACATTCATGCACTAGGGCGGGGGGTCCCTCAGCCCAGCTTGTGCCCTCTTGCAGTCCAGGACCCCTAGGGGGATGTCCTCCTGGGGGCCTAAGCTGGCAGACGGACATCCCCTGAGGGGTCCTTAGCACTGCTGTGGAGGTGGGAGGGGCTCCTGCCACCACCACTGGGCTCGCCAGCTGTGAGCCCGGCTTCTGGCTGAGTGGTGCTCCCCCTGTGGGAGCGCACTGACCACCAGGGGGCAGCTCCTATGTTAAGCATCTGCCCCCGATGGTCAGTGTGTGTCATAGCGACCGGTCGTTGCCCCGTTTGGTCGATTTGCATATTAAGGTTATATTATATAGGATATTTTTATTGATTTTAGAGAGGAAGGAAGGGGGAGAGAGAGAGACATCAATGGTAAGAGAGAATCAGTGATCGGCTGCCTCCTGCTCACCCCACACTGGGGATCAAGCTCACAACCCAGGCATGTCCCCTGACTGGGAATCAAACTATGAACCTCCTGGTTCACAGGCTGACACTCACCCCCTGAGCCAGGCCAGCCGGACTATGCCTCCCATTTGAATCATTGTTCCCTGGAGGTGGAAGCACCTAGGAATTCCTGCGTCTCCCAGTGGAGAGCGGATGGGCTGTGGGTAACGTCGAGGGCAAGGCTCAGCCCACTCTGCCCTTGTCCCTAGCTCTCCCTTGTGTACTCAACCTGAGGTGCTTTCTCGTCCCCATGGCAACAGGTCCTGGTTCTACCAGATCCCAAACAAAATCTGTCCCTGTTGCTTTATCCATCAGCTTTGCCTCCTAGCAACTGGGGTTTCTCTCCTCCTTCTTTGCGTGCCTTCCAGCAGCCTGGGGGCGGGGGCCCCTGCAATTGCTCTGTGTGACCTTCCACAAGGGCCTCCCTCTTTCTGAGCCTTCATCCTCCTCTGTGACTTCAGGAGATCAGACTAGTGGACCTTAAAGGTCTCCACTCACATGTCCTCATTTCGAGTCACTTTTCTCTAAATCAGCGGTTCTCAACCTGTGGGTCGCGACCCCTTTGGGAGTCGAACGACCCTTTCACAGGGGTCGCCTAAGACCATCCTGCATATCAGATATTTACATTACGATTCATAACATTAGCAACATTACAGTTATGAAGTAGCAACGAAAATAATTTTATGGTTGGGTCACAACATGAGGAACTGTATTTAAGGGCCAGAAGGTTGAGAACCACTGCTCTAAATACATGCCCCGGGTTCTAAGGAGACTTACATGGCTCTGGTTCCCTGGTTCCAGTTCATGAAGTTCCTATAGAAATACAAGTGTGCAGCCCTGGCCGGTGTGGCTCAGTGGATAGAGTGTTGGCCAGTGGACTGAAGGGTCCCGGGTTCGATTCTGCTCAAGGACACACACCCGGTTGTGGGCTCAATTCCCAATGTGGGGGCATGCAGGAGGCAGCCAATCAATGATTCTCATCACCATTGATGTTTCTATCTCTCTCTCCCTCTCTCTTCCTCTCTGAAATCATTAAAATATAAAAATATATTAAGTAAATAAAATACCAGTGGGCAAAAGTAAATTTACAGTTGTGAGTACACAAAACACAGTTTATTTTTGTATTCTTTCTTATTATTGCATTATTTATTTGTATTACAACTGTAAACCTACTTTTACCCACCCCTATGTAAAAAATGACATGTGAGCATATATTTATGGGACTAGTGCTCAGAAAATGCATGTTCTTTTGTTTCCATGAAGCTGTAGAGTTAGGACCGTGGAGGTGGCCTTGTCCACCGTCTCCTTTTGGCAATAAGGGTGCAAGCAGGAGAGAGGCCCAGACCTGTGCAGGGAAGGGAAGGAAGCAAGGCCGCCAAGAGGAAGCAAGCGGCCTGGGGCGCCTCCCACACCTGGGCTCCAGCAAAGGCCTCTTCCATGCCCACAGGCCCCTGGCCCCCAACTACTCTACAGGGTTTACAGAAAGGGCGTGGGACATGGACAGGAAAGGAAAGGAAAAGGACGAAAAATGGGAACCCAGGAATCCGCAGACCCAGCCGGCAGCCCAGCCCTGCTCCTTGTCAGCCGACGCATTGGGGCCTCAATTCATCTGAAAAATGGGGGCAAAAACAGCTCTGACCTCGCCCAGGGCTGTTGTGAAGGTCAAACAAGACCACGAGCGGAGGGATCTGCTCTCTTACTGTCGGGTCCCTCTGCCGCTCTCCCACCCTGACCTGGCCCTGCACGGGCTGGCTCCCCTCGGCCCCCAAACACGCTCATGAAGCAGCCATGGCAACAGCGCTGGTGCCAGCCGGGCCACGGGTGTCGCTGAGGACGGCCGTGCACAACCCAAGCCAGAGAGAAGGCTCCTGCTCGCCCAGCCTCCCCTGGGCCTTCACACGCCTCCCACAAGCAGTGTGTCAAGACCCGGTCTGCCCGCCAGTCCTGGCTCCCAGCCGCCCCCAGCCAGGCTCCGGGCTCGGCTCCTCCTTTCTGGAACTTCCCACCCCACCCCCAGGTTCTGCCTATTCAGATATTTTTCAACCCTTAAACTTTAGACAAAATGTCTCCCTCTTCCAGGAAGCCCCCCTGCCTGCCCCCCTCAGAGAGGGAGCATTGCTGCTTCCGCTTACCCAGCATCTGATTTCTGATCTTCTCACCCAGTAAACTGTCTTCATGTCTGTCCCCTAACCCGGCAGTTCTCAGGGGACCCCTTTACACTTTTAAAATGATTGAGAGCCCCAGCCCAGCCTTGGTGGCTCTGGTTGAACATCAACCTATAAACCAGGAGGTTGTGGTTTGATTCCCAATCAGGGCACATGCCCGGGTTTAGGGCTCCATCCCCAGTGTGGAGCATGCAGGAGGCAGCTAATCAATGATTCTCATCACTGATGTTTCTCTCTCTCTCTCTCTCTCTCTCTCTCTCTCTCTCTCTCTCCCTCACCCTTCCTCTCTGAAACCAATAAAAATATTTTTTTAATGATTGAGAACCCCAAATAACTTTTTTTTATTGATGAGAGAGAGAGAGAGAGAGAGAGAGAGAGAGAGAACAATTTGTTGTTCCACTTATTTATGCATTTATTGGTTGCTTCTTGTATGTGCCGTGCCCAGGGATTGAGCCCGCAACCTTGGTGTATTGAGACGATGCTCTAAGCAACTGAGCTTCCCAGCCAGGTCCCAGAGAACTTCTGTTTATATATGTTATATCTACCAATATTTACCATATTAAAATTAGAACTGAAAGGAGTTTAAACATTTTCTTATTGATTTTTAAATAACAAATTTTAAAATAACAGTAAATCTGGCTGGATAGCTCAGTCAGTTAGAGCATCGTCACAATACACCAAGGTTGCGAGTTTGATCCCCGGGCAGGGCACCTACAAGAAGCAACCAATAAATGCATTAATATGTAGAGCAACAAATCCATGTTTCTCTCTCCCTCTTCCTCTCTACAACCAATTTTTTTCAAAGTAATAACAGCCCTAGCCAGTTGGGGTCAGTGAATAGAGCATCAGCCTGGGGACTGATGGGTCCTGGGTTCAATTTCAGTCCAGGGCACATGCCTGGGTTGTGGGCTTGATCCCCAGGAGAGAGCATGCAGGAGGCAGCTGATCAATGATTCTCTCTCATCATTGATGTTTCTCTCTCTCCCTCTCTCTTTCTCTCTGAAATCAATAAAAATCTATTTTAAAAAATAAAAAAAATAAATAATAACAGTAAACCCTTTCTATACTAAGATAAATAACAGGAAGGAAGGAGGAAGGAAGGAAGGAAGGAAGGAAGGAAGAAAGAATGAGGAAGGAAGGAAGGAAGGAAGGAAGGAAGTAGTAAGCAGGGTAGCGCTGTTTTACATTTTCGCAAATCTCATGAGTGCCCGGCTTGCTAGACCACAGCTAGGTTCTCCTCTCCTGCCGCACGCAGTGTCCTGAGAGCACACACACGCAGCCTAGGAAACTGAACATGGAAAAGGTGTCAGTGTTGCTACGGGAAGACCTTTGACCTGGCACATCCTCCGTGCAGTCCCCACCTGAGGGCTGGGCCGGGACAGAAGCAGCCCGAGGCCCCACGCGGTGAATGCGGAGAACCTGGGGGTGGGGCATCCGCTGAGTGGGAGGCCTCCTGGGTCTCTTCTCTTCATTTGATCCCCACTTCGTTTCTCCTTGTGCCTCACCTCCAGGGTGGGACGAAAGAGAGGGATCAGAAGACCAGCACTTTGTTAATCCTCACCCGAGGATATTTTTCCATTGGTTTTTAGAGAGAATGGAAGAGAGAGGGAGAGACAGAGAGAAACATCCATGTGAGAGAAACACATCAATTGGTTGCCTCCTACACAAGCCCGACCAGGGCCTGGGCCAGGGAGGAGCCTGCAACCCAGGTACATGCCCTTGACCAGAATCGAATCTGGGACCCTTTGCCCTTTGGTCCGCAGGCTGACGCTCTATCCACTGAACCACACCAGCCAGGGCAAGACCAGCACTTTGGATTCACCTGGCCCCACATTCCACTCTGGTCTCTGTCCAGATGTGAGCGTGGGGAGCCCCCTAGCCCTCCGAGCCTCGGTGCCATCTTTTGGAAAATAGTTGTGCTACCTCATCGAGGGACTAAAAGAGAGAAACTGCGGGTCCAAGCTCTGCCAGGGCCTGACACCCGACAGACAGTCCACGGGGGCTGCCGGAGGTGTCAGCTGCCCCCCTGCCTCCCGCCTGCCTCCCGCAGGCGGAGGGCCCCGGGCCAGGCTGGAGTTTCCCAGAGAGCATCCTGGTGGCGAGGGCGCGTGGAGGGCGCTTGTTGCCAAGTGTAGCTTCCTGTCCTGCGGCCCCTGCAGACTCCCAGCCTTCGGAGAGGCCCCCCTGCCCGAGGCCTGGGCGCCTTCTCCTGCTCCCTGCCCCTC